TTTCTTTTCCAATCTTCTGCTTTCTTTCATTAGGATCTCTCTCTCTCTCTCTCTCTTTCTCTCTTTCTCTCTTTCTCTCTTTCTCTCCTCTCCCCCTCCCTCTCCCTCTCCCTCCCTCCCTTTCCCTTCCTCCCTCCTTCCCTCCCTTCCTCCCTCCTTCCCTCCCTCCCTCTCTCCCAGCCTCCCTCCCAACCTCCTTCTCAGTGCTGCCAGGCGTAGGATTAACGCGGGGTGGGTGTTTAGTTGTCGTACCCCTTTTGGGCGTCCGACTTTGAAGAAAAAAAAAGATCTGGCTGCATAGGCCGCTTAGGCTTTGCAATAAATCGGGATAATTAATGATACACATACATATTTTTTTATCGTTGCTACTATTAAAATTTGAGAACGCATTTGGCTTTTTTTTTAATATAATCTAATAAGGCTAGAAAGGCATGCAGCACCAGACGTAATTTTCGTTCGAAGCGAAATGGTTGCGTAAGTCAATTCCACGTACGAAGAACTAAAAAAAAAAAGAAAAAAAGAAAGAAAAATAAAAGATGTCTGGGCAAAGAGGGTTAAGAAAGTAAAAAAAAAAAAGAGAAAAAAAGTAGTAGTATAACCAGTGATCTAGAATTTTCGAAACAGATTATAGTAAAGGCCGAATATAAATTTGTTTTAAAAGGATGATATGCATTTTGATTCAGGCAACACTTGGGAATTCAGAGTGGAGGGGATTGGCAACGCTACAGGCCTCGTAGCTCTGAACAAATGAACGAGTGAACGGGTGAACTAGTGGGCAAATGGGCAATTGGACGAATGAACAAGTGAACAGGCGATCAGTTAAACGAGTGAATAAATTAACAGTTGAATAAACGGGTAAGTGAACAAATGAATGGATGAGCAAATGAGCAAGTGGAAAAAAATGAACAGGTGGACTAATGAAAAAGTGAACGCATGAACAAGTGTGACCAATTGAACACATGAACACCGCTGTTATGTGAAGGGCTAGAGTTCGTTGTGTTCGCTGGTAGCCGTTCGTTCGTCCGGTGTTGCCTTCAGGGACTTAAGAGATTTGTCAGCTTATTGTTTTATATATATATATATATATATATATATATATATATATATATATATGTGTGTGTGTGTGTGTGTGTGTGTGTGTGTATGTATGTATGTATGTAGGTATTTACATACACATATACATATATACACATACATATACACATACACATACATACGTGCATATATTTAAACACACACACACACAGATAGATAGATTGATTGAATGAATGATTGATAGATAGTTAGATAGATAGATATAGATATATATACTTATATATGTATATATATACATTTATACATATGTATATATATATATATATATATATATATATATATATATATATATATATATATATATGTATATATTTATATGTAACTATACATGGAAGAAAAAGAAAAGCAATTCAGCGAAACACCTGATGCTAACTGAGGAACCTTCGAATAAACGAGGAAAACTATAAAAAATTATCTTCGTCTCGATATCTGTGTTATCATGTCTGGCAAGTGAGGCTGTTGGAGGAGGAGGAGGAGGAGGTGGTGGGGTGGGGATGGGGGCGGAGGTGGAGGAGGAGGAGGTGGAGGCGGGGGTGGAGGAGGAGGAGGAGGTCGTGGTGGGGGTGGAGGAGGAGGAGAGGAGGGTCGTGGTGGGGGTGGAGGAGGAGGAGGAGGTCGTGGTGGGGGTGGAGGAGGAGGTGGAGGTGGAGGTGGTGGAGGAGACGGGGGTGGGGGTGGAGGAGGAGGAGGTGGAGGTGGAGGGGACGGGGGTGGGGGTGGGGGTGGAGGAGGAGGAGGAGGTGGAGGTGGGGGGGACGGGGGTGGAGGAGGAGAATGAGGAGGTGGTGGTGGTGGTTCCCTGCGTATGTGACGTCATCAGTCTTAGGCCAACGGTGACGTGCATGATTGTGAAAGTGAATTGTCTGTGTCTTTTAGTGTCTTGAGTGTGTCTTTGTTTGTGCCTCTACCTGCTCTCTCTCTCTCTCTCTCTTCTCTCTCTCTCTCTCTCTCTCTCTCTCCTCTCTCTCTCTCTCTCTCTCTCTCTCTCTCTCTCTCTCTCTCTCTCTCTCTCTCCTCTCTCCCTCTCTCTCTCTCTCTCTCTCTCTCTCTCTCTCTCTCTCTCTCTCTCTCTCTCTCTCTCTCTCTCTCTCTCTCTCTCTCTCTCTCTCTCTCTCTCTCCCTCCCTCTCTCTCTCTCTCTCTCTTTCCCTCTCTCTCTCTCTCTCTCTTTCCCTCTCTCTCTCTCTCTCTCTCTCTCTCTCTCTCTCTCTCTCTCTCTCTCTCTCTCTCTCTCTCTCTCTCTCTCTCTCTCCCCCCCTCTCTCTCCCTCCCTCCCTCTCTCTCTTCTCTTTCTCTCTCTCTCTCTCTACGTTTGATAACGTCCCTGTCTAGCTGTTTGCATTTCTGCCTGTCACTCGGCTCGTCTGTCTGTGTATATTTGCCTGTCTTTGTCACGCGTCATTCTG